GGCAGAATAACATTTCAGTTCTTTTTTATTTTTTGAAACAATGGAGGAAAAACTAAGTAGATCTTAATAATGAGAATACTAAAACCAATAGCAGTACTAAAAAAAAATGTGATAAAAGTTTTTTAGAAACTCTTGGAACACGAAAAAAGCGCAATTAGCTTAAAACTAATATTTATATCTGTTAAATAAAATGAAAGTGTTGAGTGCTAATACTTATTAGTTCATAGTCAAAAATTTCCAAAATACTGGTTTCGCTTATTATATGCTTTTGCTTGTCTCTTATTTTAATTATGCAGTGTAGTAGTAATAATAATTATTACTCATTTTAAATATTAAATGTCGCGTATGCGTAACTCAAGAATGTCATTGTTAAGTTATTCACGAAATTTATAAATATTTCTAAGGTACAATTTAAACTAAAAATTTACCCCTATGATAGTTCAACCATAATTTATTTTGACATAAAAGGGTTTAATAAATTACTACGAGAACATTAAATGAACGCAGTGAACATAATAATATTAAATATTTATTAAAATAGAAATTCGTTAAGAATAATCGGTTATAAGTGGGGCCCAGATGTTAATATCCTTATATATACGGTAATGGTTGTCTTAAAAAATACACTATGAATTAATATACCCTGCATATCTTATAAATACCCCTTAAATTTTAGAAATAAATATAATTTTCATTTTTAATTTATACATTAAATATAATTAATAATTTATAAATTTAAAATAATATGGCGAGTGAAACATGATTGAGAAAGTAATATTCTTATACCGATTAGTAAAAATTGATTAAAACCAACGTATGAGAAATTGACTAAAAATGAATATCGTTGAAAAAATTTAGAATTAAAAACAGTATCTGCATTCGTGTATAATTGAACACATTTCCATGACGTAAACGAAAGACGCTGTTGAATGGGTTATCAGCATGACAAAAAACACTTTTCGATTAAATATTAATTCCTACATCTTATCGAATATCGGTACACCGACATCAGTAATATATATATAACAGTTTTTTCAACTGCATCGTAGCACGAATCAGTACTTTTCGTGGTCCTGCTAATTTTACGGTCCTTAAAAGATATTATCCTGCCGTTGATGAAGGTTTCTTTTCCATTTGAGTAGACAAACAGAATTTCGGCAAAAAAGAAGTAGTCGTGAAAAAAGGAATAATAGTAGTAGTCTAAACTACTGTTTCCTAATTATTATGAAGTAACGGATCCCTTTTTTGTATAATATGCTTATGGGGGAAAAAAATTCTGTTTATGATTTCTAAAGATTTTACACACATCTCTTTGTTATATTGAGAAAAATGCAATATGACAAGATTTATTTTTATTGTCTCTTTAAATATCAACTTTATACGTATACCACAATTACAACTACATATAACAAGCAGAGTTGGACAAAATTGTGTCTACGAGATAATTATGTAATAATAATCTCATAGATAATTATTATTCGAATATAAAATTATTCGAATTATTTGAAAACATTAGCGTTCATTTCAGGAGGTGGCTGGGAAAAAATATATACCACCCCGAAAATTTTTATTTATTTTTTAATTATTCACTCCTGTGGCATACCCACCCACCAAAAATATCGATAACCTTCCAATGGCATAGAATGTCTGAAATAAACACTGCTTAGCCTGGCCAAGTACTAGTGATAAAAGTGTACCGCTTGTTTAGATATTATAATTTATGACCATTACCACCATAAACTGATTCGAAACAAATACATCACCATATCTGCTAATCTAACCTTGCACGAAATACTCGCATGTTCAACTCGACTTGAATCGTTCGCACGCAGTTCGTTATGCGGTCAGAATATTTTCGTCAGGGCCATTAAGGAGGAAACGTTTGCGCGCTTGTGATGGTTTATACGTGTCGAGCTGTCACCGCGACATTTGACAAAACCCTCGATCGTTGCGCCGTCTGATTTCATTCTTATTACTATAGTTTTTTTTTTTTTTCATCGTGTTAAATCGGCTGTTTCATTTATTCGACATCAACACGTGATGCTGAAACGACATAATTTTCATCGCTTAGTATAGCTCCCCATACGTCATATGTGTCTATATTTCAACATACACGATTCGTTTCGGTTGGTTACATATCATACGCTTTTGTAAAATACAAGCAAATACGAAGCGTGTAAAGTGTCGAAAGGGATATGCGGTAAAAAAAAATTAAAAAATTGAATAGGTAACTACTACTCGAATAACCACATTACTTAAACTTTAGAATTTTTCAAAATAATGTTGCTGAAATAAAATTTACTTATTGTGTTCGGAAAAAAAAATAGAATATAATAAAGAAAATTAAATTCTCATACGTCGTATCATATTGTAATAATTTATTCTAGTCTTGCTACAACGATGAGATTTAAAAGTAACGGTGATGCGGAAATCTAATAGCGAGTGCATTCTTTATGACGATTTAAATTAATGTCCCTGAAGGGAAAATACATACTCTCGTGTAAAATAATACGGGCGTCTCTTAAATACTGGCCGCAGACACCGTAAGTAATTAATACAAGTACAACAACTTACAAGGGTAAACTTATAAATTAAACCTCTTTACTAATAATTTACCATCTAATTACCGTATACACATGAATCAAAAGTGCGCGTGTTAAGAAATAAATAAAACAAACACCGTTAAAATATGGTTATTTTTCAATGCGGTCTTATTCTATTTTAGTACATTTTCTCCAGCGCTTGACAAGTTTTCCAATACTTTTCAGTCAAAGTTATCTTGTACAACCAATTAGGTTTCTTAAAAATACTCTTATATGCTTCAAGAATCCTATGAAATGAAACATGGAGCTTGATTTATTTTCTATAGAAAAACCACGAGCGCCACATTAAATATTCCGACATTTTATGTTAAAATAAAAATGGAACGTTAACCAGGCATCCAAAATCATATTTTACTCACACATAACAAGGTATTGCTACACCCATGATACGACGAAAATAATAACACCGTTGAGTTAGGATAAAATATTGGCAAATATAAATTACGTATCAGCATGTCCATCTTGTTACTTGCATATTAATATGCAACACACGATAAACTAAAAAATATTATAAGTACAAAATACAACAATACTCTCGAGAAAATTTTAACCAATATTTAATCTTAAAAATTGAAAATTCTTAAATGCAAAAAAAAATTGGTTTGAATTTTTGATTTTTTTTAAAAAATCAGAATTTCTATACTAAGTATTGTAAAAAAAAACCGCGTTTAAATATATTGATTTCCCGTGGAGATATTAAGGGTGATACGGGACTTATGGGACATATTGTATAGTCGAATGATTTACATCATCTTCTGCCCCTTTCTCACGACAGTTTGGGGTCGGCCATTTTTGCCCTAAGCCTCCACTCGTCTTGATTTTCTACACCACCACGCAGCACATTAAAAATTCTCTTATATAATTTTCAATCGTATCCAACCATCTCTACTTAAATTTTCATTGTTATAACTATGCATTTTTAATATAAAATTACTATAGAATTTGAAAAATGTATTATGAAAATTTGATTTAAAATAAAAACTGCAAGTAATATTGCAACATAAATAGGCACATACCATTGATAAAAAATCTTAACATTTCTAAAATATCAGAAATATTTGTAAATAAACCATAACAATATTTAATTGTAATTGTGTTCGTTAATATTGATTCTACACTTGATATTCCAATCACTTCTGAGAACTACATTTATAATTATAACTTAATTTCTTTTCGTGCTCTTAACTTATTATATTTACATATATATAATAATATATATACATATAACTATATATTTTATATATAAAAATCTATCAGAAAAATTATGAAATAATACTTACATTTTTAAAATTAAATTGAAACATTTATAAAATTATAAAACAGCGTTATTGTCTTTTGTCCAAAATATATTTGTTTGGTAGTACACCAAAATTTTTATGAAAATATTTACACTACGGATAAAATATACCTAACAAGAAATATAATAATTAATAAGTTAAATTAATAAAACGGTGCCAACTCTTGAAATTGTTAAATTACTGATTTTTCACTAGGAAGTATTAGGTGTGAAAACGAATAGGTTATTTTCGTTTGACCCAACAACTGAACAAAATCTCTCGATGAAGAAAAACTAAGGACGTTTTCGGAACTTAGACCTTAATTATCGATAATCCCCCTCGATATTCATCTAAAACATGGATAGTAATACCGTCTGACACGCGTGCCAAAGGTGATACGTTGACCAAATTTCAACAGTACGCGAAAAAATTGATACCATTAATATTATACAAAAAGTAATTATGCTATTGATAAAATTTTAATCATAAAAAATTCAAAAAAACAAATTATATGCATTTTAAAAATTTTAATAATCCTTATACCTTCAATTTTTTCTTCAACTTATGCTTGTGAAAATGTATTCTTTATAAAGAATTTAAATAAACCGTAAGAAATAAATCCTTTGGCCGATGAAACAATTGCTGCTTATATTTCACTAAAAATGACAAATTACACTCCTGGCATCAATACTTTATTCATTAAAAAACAGCATAAAATAATTAAATATATCACCAAATTTAAAGATAATAAATAAATAAAACATAATTTATAAAATAACAAAAAATATATGTACCTACTTGATTAATATAATGTAATTAATCAGTAATTTTATTTGTATCCCTAGAAAGTATAATTTCCTCTGGACACGTGTTCTCTGGATATTTTCAAAACTTTAATTGAAAAAAATTGACGTTGGACCCAATAAATGTACGTTTCGCCACCACTGTCCTAAAGTTTTAATTTATATATTATATGACACTCTGAATATGTTGATTCCGCATTTAGTCACGTCACTCGTACAATATCGCATAATTTATATCGATATATATTTATTTCCAAAGCAAAGTATAACTAACAGTGTAATATTCTATTCCACTAACTCTACCGTGTTTTTCACAGGTGAGTGCGTACACGTTAGTGGCCATCAGCGTCGACAGATATATAGCAATTATATGGCCACTGAAACCTAGGGCTGGCAGACAACATGCTAAATACATAATAGCATTAGTTTGGACAGTGGCTGTAATTACAGCATTTCCTATACCACTCGTCACGACGTTGGATCAGCCGTCGTATTGGCATCAGGTAACAACCGTCGAAAACGCGATAATTTTTTTCACCCCCTCAGCCTTCCCCGTCATCACACGTTCTGTAACACATTTTTAACACATTTCATAATAGTATGACAAATTATAATATGAATTCCCACGGTGTATACATGAACTCATTCGAATTAATTGAGTAAACTCTTTGGCTTAATTCGGTCTCCTGAAAACTTTTTATTTGATTTCCAACTTGATAACTTTCATTTCATTGAAATAGTAATCGCATTCGTGTATGAATTATAATTCTCTTCAATTGTATGCTTTTTATTATACAAAAATATTCAACTCGATTATTAAACCAAATTGAATACAATATTTTTCATTTTATTAAATTGAATTCATAAATGAAAAAAAAACATTTTTAATAAAAAAAAATCATCAATCAAAAAGTTCATCGCATTGAGCCGACCAAATAAAGTTACAAAATAATAAATGTAATTCAAAAACTTTTAAACATAATTTATACCTATATTCGCCATGCAATTATTTTAGAAATATATACACAATAATTTCATTGCTAAACATTTTTAAAACACAATAGGAAACTATCGTTTTACCCAAATTAAGATTAATAACAAACATAATATAAAATAATTCTTAGTTATATAATAATTTAGTAAATAATTTAGTAATATGTTTTTTTCTCATTATTAAACATCAAAACTTCAGTCAGACGTAAGAATTTGTGGCGAGTACCCATATAATACAAGATAGAAATACGTGCTCGTATTAAATTATACATGCGCCATCATTTGTTTGCTTATTAGAAATGCGGTCTTTACATTTGCAACGAAACGTGGTCCAGTGAAAATGTCCGACATTTCTACAATGTGGCACTGTTGGTGCTTCAATACTGCATACCATTCGCCGTTCTATTATTTACATACGTTAATATCGGGGTAGTCGTATGGGGTAAAAGAACTCCAGGTGAGGCGCAAAATTCCAGAGACGTTAGGATGGCCAAATCAAAAAGAAAAGTAACATTTTTAAAATATTATAACTCCCAAACATGTCACGTTTTTCGATTTTTGCAGATGATAAAAATGATGGTTACTGTGGTCATAGCATTCACGGTTTGTTGGCTGCCATATAATATCCTATTAGTAAGTGTACTCTACAATTGTTTCAATTGAATTTTATTACCACTTACTACTATCTTTACTAAAATATAATAAATACAAATTAGCTAAAATTCTGATTGTCATTGAATTGCACTCACCGATATATCGTATACATATTAAAATAACTTAAAAAATATTATCGTAGTTATATATTAAATTAATTTTCCAACAACCGTTTTAAAACTCATCATTTTTCTCATTTATTAATTAGTAAAAATATCTTTTAAAATACTTTTAAAGGTACAAAATTCGAAATATTTTAAAAAGTTTAAAAATATTAACCAAGTAATATGATTAATTTTTTCGAATTGAATAAGTATGCTTTTGATTATGTTTATGACTAATTTTTTTTAGCATCCTCTTCGATACAATAATTCTTATCGAACGAAATTATTTATACTATGGAGATTATTATACTATATATCAGGGATGGCAAGTTCATGGCATGCGTGGCCGAGGTGGCTCGCGAAAAATTAAAATATTTTCATCACCATATATATTTTTGGCAGCGGACCTTACTTAATCTCAGTCATGTTGCCACAATGTCAGGCCGATCCATATATATATATATATATATATATATATATATATATATATATAACTAGCTGACACGACAAACGTTGTTTTGTCATAGAAATTTTTTCTAAAGAATATTTTGCTAGAAAAAAAAACTAATATAATATAGGTGGGTAAGGATGTGGTATATAAGTGGAAGAGGTATGGAGTGCCGTGAACGGTAACGGAATATAAAAATAAAAAAACATCAAACATTTATTTTTTTAATAATTTATTAAAATTGATCTTTTAAAAATTATATATATAGCTAATTATGGCAATATTAGTAAAAAACAATGTACAATCCCTTAATGCAACAGAGTGTAAAATATTTTTTTTTATCACATCTTTCACCAACACAAACAAACTAGATGGTTCGAGAGCACGCCACGTATAATTGTCCGTGTGAAAAACATGATATGCTCAAATCTTAGCCACAGACAGACATCGTTTGGCCTTGAGACTTATTGATAGTCATTGCAAATGCCAATCTAATTGGAAATTGAAGGCCTTTAAATTGTATTGGCACATCCGTAGGTATAATAGGGATTCGTGGTAATAATATATTTTCACCTCGGAATTTGCCATTTAAAATGATGATTAACCTAACCGTGGTGCGTTCAAATTACGAAGCAAAATAACTGGAGATCCAACCTTCAGTTGTAAATTATGCGGTGACTTTCCTGGTAAATCTAATGAGTTTAAAAACTTTGTTGCGAAAATGTACAGCTTCAATAGCATCGCAAAATGTATCAATAGATTTGTATGACATCAACTATCTTGATAACAAATGTTGTATCTTGAGATTCAATCCGTTAACGTTCACATTTTTTGCTGCTAAAATTACTCTTTTTGCCAGCCACTCATAATTTGTGTATTGTCTGTATACATTGAGAAATATCTGGTCAATAAGAGCATCTTGCTAATCAATGACTGTGCAGAAATCAATCCGTAATTTTATACATCCCGTTTCATCAGTAGTAACTTTCCCATCACCAATATCTAACAATTGTTTTGAGAATCTTCTGCACGCAATTTTTTTTGATTGAATCGCAAGTATCGAAATCGTTTGCTCTCTATCTTTACATACATGTCGACCATGAATTATTGACAAAGATTATGCCATCGTAGAATAATGTTGTCCTGATCGCGTGTAATCATCAACCGATATGCATAATAATTGTTCGAACTAACATTCTTATTTGTTTTGGCACCTGTTGCGGGATCTTGTTGTTTAATATTTATGCAATACCCATCATTTAACCATAAATAAAATTAATAGTTTTTGATAGCTTTTTAATAGTTTTATTTAATAATTCATTTTCAATTGTGCAGTTATCGATCTAGTCAAAAGTTATTGAATTAAACTACGATTTATTAAACAATAGTACTTTTCCAAAATTTTTTTTTCCGTAAAAACCTTTTCCTAGCAATTACGAACAATTAAAAAAAATTTGAGCCAAATCAGCCCAGCCGTTCTCAATTGATAAAATATACATTTTTGACTCCATTTTTATATAAATAGATTTTTATTTATAATATTAAATAACATCATAATTTTAGTAGATAATTATACGCTAAATATCAACGAATTAACATCAAGCATTCAACAAAAAAATTACATCAAGAAAATAAATATTTGACAAAGTAATTTTTATATTAAGTACCTAAACTAACCTATTTTATATTAATACATTAATTATACAATAAAATTATAAAAACTTTTTTCTTACAATATTAAATATAATATATATATATATATATATATATATATATATATATATATAATATTTTTCATGGCACGTTTGAAAAAAATATGTTAATTTTTGGCACGTAGTGTTAAAAAAAATAATGATAAAAAAAATAAAAAAATAAAAAAAATAATGTGCCACTCCTACTATATATATACTAATTAGACATGATTAAATAAAAATATATTAATTCAGTTTATAACGAAAAATTATTCATTTTTAAATTGTATTTATGTATTTTTTAAAAATGGCTGCTACAAGTCAAGTCAAACATGAAATAGTGAAAATAAAAATTATTAATTTAATTCAAACTAAATAAAATTCCATTGGATCACACAACGATAATATTTTCATTAAAATGGTCTTTAAGTGTTAATTATATTAGTTATGCAAAGATTTTAGCCTGAAATGTTTAGGAGAATTTCAACTATCGACTAAAAATCGACAAAAACAGCCAATAATGCTATTAATTATATATATATATATATAAATATGCACCCCATTATATCTGATAAAAATTATATGTTTTCCGTGTTCTTTTGTATTTTTGTTGTTCCTGTGGAATATTAATTTTATTATTTATTTGTTCATTATTTTAAAATAAGCATGTAGCATAATGATAACAATTATAATATAAATATATAGCTTAAAGAATATAATTGATGAAAAAGAAAAAAAATTAATAATTAACATAACACACATTACACATAATAATTATAAACTAAATAAGGTTTTCATTGACTCAAGGCATCATTTGATCAATAGGATTATTATTAGTATAATTAGTTGCAATTTATTTAAATTAATCTATACAGTGAATGAATGAATAGCGAGTTAGTGTTATCGAATAAGTGTGTTTTGTGACAGAAACCGGTTTCATAACTAAAAATCTTCAAAACGACTACCACCGATCAAACAATAATTATTGGAAATATGCATATTAATATGCATAGAAATATGCATAAACTCTGATTATATAATAAAAAGAGCGAGATAACTGTTTTGAAAATGTTATAGAATTTTTAACGATGCTCTATCATTGTTTTTGAAACGTTTTGCTAAATTTAAATTTAATCTCTAGTTTCAACTACGCATGTAATGAAACCCATAGAACAAGAACATAATTTAAAAGTTCACCATGATAAGAAAATAATTTTTGGGAAAGAAACGATTTTCTCTTATGCGATTTTAATGTATTTTTAGAAAAATTACATTATTAACGTACTTCTGTAACTTAATTTTTATATCTTTCATTTTTGAACCTTTTTAAACATCTCATTATTAACTATACAATATGATATATATTCTTAAACATTAATTTAATATACTCGTGTACTGTACTTATTATGCTTAATTAGCTAAACAAATTGTTTTCACTATAACATAAATACATAATTTTTTTCAAAACCCTTTTTGTTCTATAGACATTTATTTTACAATATTTTACATAATTTGGACAATAAGTCAACATGATGATAATATTATATCACATGACATTTTTGAAAGAATGAAGAATCCTTCGTGTGAAGGACTTTCGAAATTTTGAAATATTTTTTTGTTTTTATTTAAAATAACACATAAACCTACTACAGAAATTGTTTGTATAATAGGTACTGTTTACAAAACCTATATGTATACCTACCTATATACTGGCAAACTGGCGCAATAAATAATATTTTTTACGAAAAACGTGTATGAAAACGCCAATACAATGAATAACAAAATAATGTAAATATCAAAAAACATGAAAACACTTTTATGAACGTCGTGAACATAATATACTTGTTTTAACTTTTATCCATTTTTTTTTTTTTTTTTTTTGGTTAATGTTTTATGTAATACTTATATGTTTTACATAAAACCATTTCGTTTTTGAACAAAATAAAAATACTTACTTTAAAAATGTTGTCTCCGCATAGATATTACATAATACATTATTATTCTATTTTCAAACAAATATATAATTAATTAAATATCACTATTGTGCTTCTTATACTTATAAATTACTCAAGTATATGTTGTATAAATCTTCAGAACAAGCGAATTAAATAACTATGACGTTATATGAATAACATATTATATATTCTTATAATGGTGTTCCGATATACTTTACATATAGAATAAAAGATTATATAAATGTTGTAGAGGATTAAGTTAAATAGCAACATATGTTTACTTAAGTTTCTACGCTTTTTGTTGTCGAGCGAATATTGATACACAATAATTTTAATGAAATTGAGAAATCAAGTTCAAAGACCATTCAGGGAACTTGGACGTTGAGTTGGACATAAAACTGTGAATTAAGTCGACGTGTTTAATATCAACAAGCAAAATTAATTTAAAAAAAAAACCTGTGTGTATAAGTGAAAAAATTACACTTTTAATACGTACTATTGTTTGAAATAAAAACTTATTAATATCAAACCACTATAGCAGTGATAATGTTTTGGTGTTTTTAGTTTTTGATCATATAACTGCTTGTTTACAATTATTTTCATGATTTTATCATTCCATGGAAGAATTTAAAATGCAAGGCTGAGCATTAACGAGTTAAAAGTTAAAATAAAGTTAAAACGTTAAGTTAATTTTAATTAAGTTAACTAACTCGTTACTTTTTTTTACAAATTAACTTTTAACTTAATAAATTACTTTTTTTTAAGACTAACGTGTTAACTT